ACGGTCTGAACAAAAAAGTACCAAGTAGGTACCACACCTCATACAGGATTGCACAGCATTATCTTTCCAGGTAAATTTAGAAATAATTTAACAGTTTTAGTTATGAATCACCAATGTTGGACCCAAGTGTAGCTAACACACATTAAAACAGACAACACCAGAACATTAATTGCGGCATATATGAATGAATCCAAGCTTCTTCTATACTGGAAAACTGGCTTTTGCAAAGATCGCTTTCCTTGAATCTAACCACAACAGAGTGAAGACGAAAGCGGCAAGAAAAATCTAAAAATCTTCTATATTCAATAGAGACAGGATGTTCACTTTACTAAGTTTACGACGAAAAACCGAAGAATTAGGTGAACTCACAATATCCTCTGGCAACATCTGCAGCATCTGGCAGCTCGACAGAAGAAAGAATTATGTACATAATTTCGCTGAATGCGGTTTCTTTATAGGTACATAGTCCAAAGCAAAGCTATTCGATCGCCCATGACTTGGTCGGAAGACCCAGTACTTACTTGCCCTTAATTTGGTCTCCATGCGCAACACTCGGAAGCATAACACTAAATCGTGATAGATTCTTCGATAAAAAAGGGTCTTCAGCCCAAAACGACTAAAGCCTTGCGCTATAGCTGGGAAGGGAGTAAGGATACGTGGGACTCGGCATGGATCTATAAATGAGAAGTCTTGTAAAAGTTTGTTGTACTCTTTCGATTTTCGCTTGGTATTTTTTGTTTGTGGGCTCCACACCTGACAGCAGTATTCAAGCTGTGGGATTACATACGCTTTATAAAGTCTCAAAAAATGTTCTCATCTTTGCTATGTATATTCCTGAATAGGAAGTATACAGTTTTGAGCGCTTTTCGGATAATGTTATCTATATGGCTGGAGAAATCGAGTTGGGAGGTAAGTGATTCCTAGATCCTTTATAAGGTCTGGCTCTGAAGAGCAGTGTCATTGTATCGGTATTCGAAACCGTGACCATTTCCTACATGCATCACAAAGGACTTCGACAAGTTGACGGGTAATTCCCATTCACAGGACCACCTCATCATTCCATCTATGGATTTAGAAAGGGCGTCGAATATTTCATGACGATTATCTTGATTGTACATGGCATATACTTTGATATCATCGGCATAAATCTGAACTCTAATTGAGGGATGGGTTTTTAGTACCATCGGGAGATCTATGCAGTACACAAGAAAAAGTGTAGGTGAGAGTACACCGCCTTGTGGGACACCACTGGAACAGAGATAACGATCAGAAAATGAATTTCCCACTTTAACCCACATATGGCGATCTGACAGGTAGGATGAAAACCAATTCAGACAGACTTTCGCCAAGACCGATCATTTTCAACTTCAGGATGAGCTTTGAATGGTTTACTCTATCGAATGCTTTAGAGAGGTCGAAATAAACTATATCAACAGAACATTTGTTATTCAGAGCCGTAAACCAATCGAAAGTGCTATCCAGCAATTGAGTGGTTGTAGAAGCCCCTTCTGAGAAACCATGTTGCTCACTTGGTATGAAGTGATGCCTGCTAAGCCACTTAACAAGCCTATCCCTGATAATCTTCTCCAGAACTTTCACCGCCACCGGGGTTATGCTGATGGGTCGGAAATTACTGACTAATCGTGCTGCTGGAAATTTTGGGAATAGCGGTGACTAAGGCTTCCTTCCACAAATATGGAACTGATTCTACTAATAAAGAAATATTAAAAATCATGGCTAGAGGCTTATAGAGACTCTTAGCGCAACGTTTATACAGTATTTTGTGGGATTCCATCATATGTGGCGGAATTAGTGGATTTCAAACGCCGTAAATATTTCAACACGTCACTGGGATCAACAGTGATATGCTTCAATTGTTCCGAAACTCGATGGCTCATCCAGATCTGTTAAATGAGCATTACTTTGAGGCATGACTACACTTGAGAAGTGACGAGCTAGAGCGTCGGCTTTCTGGGAGTCACTGCTAAAATATATTACCAAACTCATCTTCCAGCTGGGATCATAATTTGAATAAAAGCGTTTGACATGGAAATTTATATCCGAGCATACCTTTTTGTAAAGAGCACTACCGTTATCCGACTGAAGCTTTCGCTTTTGTTCAAAAAGATTTTGTATATGTTTTGGAAAGCATTCGTTACTATTTTTGGGGACATAGAAGGGAACAAATTTACTCAGTCCTGAATACACAATTGAGCAAAATCTCTTGTATACATCGTCTACGTCTGAATATCCCTGGAATGTAGACCACCAGTCTATGGAAGTGAAGTATCGGTTAAGAGCTTGATAATCAGCTTTGTGAAAGTTGGGCATAGGTAAGCAAAGCATGGTTTCATAAGGGACATTCAAAAAGAAACGTAATATTTTGTGATCCGAAGTGTGTAGAGGGGGCAGATAATTTATGTTAGTGCAGATTCCAGGAGAGGTAAGAATAATATCCAGAATTGCATTTTGCCGCGTAGGCTCATCAACAACTTGTTTCAGATTGTTGCCCTTTGAAAAATTCAGCGAAACGAGTAGCAGTCGAATTTTTGGATTCTCCCTGGTTCCAGTCAATATTAAGGTTGAAATCGCCAAGAATTACTAAATGCCGCAGGAGAAGAGCACATTGTAGATAAAAAGTCTAATAGTGTTCTATCATCATCACAGCAAGAATTCGGTGGTCTGTATACTAGGATGAATCTAGTGTTTACAACAGAGTGGCTATTCAAGTAATCGAAGCACAGATAATCAGACCTGATGTCGGCCTCAAACGACTTTTGCCTGAAACAAAGAGAATCTTTGATCAGACAAGAAACACCACCACCCCTTCCAAATTTGCGATCAGATCTCAAGATGATGTAGGGAAAACCACTAACGATCTCAGGGTCAGAAATATTCTCATTCAACCAGGTTTCAGTAATAAAAACAAAATCTGGATTTTGAACGGACAAAAAATGATGGAGGTGATGTAATTTATTAGTTAGACTTCGTGCATTGAAAAGAAAGCATCTCAGGCTTGCGATTGGTTGGTGGCTGTTTGCCAGTTTCCCGAGTTAGGTCTTGAGAATGGGGTGGATTTGAGATCATTCACATTTTTCAGTTCATCTCGATAGACCACCCATATCTTCTGCCCAGAACTGAATTCGCTTTTTAGCTTCCTGACGAAGTTCGAAATCCCGCTTCCGTTCTTCCAAAGTCATGCTTTTACGTACAAACACGCCTGAATAACTGGAGGAACGTAGAAGACGAGGATTAATTAAGGCCGTGATCCAGTGTGTTTTGGAGGGCAACAGGACTTTAACTAGGCGTGGGCGTAGTTCGCTAAACTTACCCATTCTGTAGGTTTCAACAGCGCGGCATTCCACCTTTAGAATGTCAAGTATATCGTCAATCTTGTTTTCTAGTTCTTTTTGTTTTTCGGACGGCTTTATGTTAACACTCGACTCGGGCAGACCCGAAATCACGATGCTACGACTGCGTTTTTCATCATTCACCGCATTTGTCATCTCAATGGAAAGCTTATCCTTAAGTGCCAGCAGCATTTTATTGATCAATGGATCAGTATTCCTAGCCGTAATATTTTTTAGGAGGTCGGAAGCGGTGAAAGTAGAAAAGTCGAGCTCATTGAGATTACTACCATTCATCGAATCATCTTCCGTGTTATTGACGGAGCTCAAAGGTGTTGTAGTTCTGGCTGAATTTCGAGTAGCACGGGGCATTGTCAAAGTGGATGATCAAAAATCAGATCGATCGAAAACGGAAATGAAATCGAACGCACCGCCAATAACTTATACTCAGAAGACACTACTCAGAAGACAGATAGATCGGCTTTTACGATGGGCTGATAAGCTAATCAAGAATCACACATCAAATAACACAGATATAGATGAAGATGAGAAATGTACCTCTAAAAAAACGAATACCTGACGGGTTTAATAGGATTGCTGGAGAGCACACAACCGACCAACCGCACGCGGGCAATGCACCGGCAAAGAACAACGTCTACTACAATACAGTCTCCGGTGAAACTCCAGTTCGGGGGGGGGCCACTCCATTTTTTCTCCAATACTCAAGATAAGGATTAGAGGGCTCACGACACGTAATCGACTCATTTAAAGGACGAATTCACGATCAGAGGGAAAATCGAATTAGGAAGAATTCACCTGGTTGAGGGACCCGCGGAGCTCCTAAGTGTGCGAACTGAAGCACAATTTGCACAGGAGGAGTTGACCTCGGCGACCTATTAAGGTTCAATCCCGCCGCGGCTGGCAGTGCACGCCCACCGATCATCTGATCACTCGCCGCAGGTCTATACGTGGCGAGTGATTAGATAGGTGAGAGAGCGTAGTGTTGAAGAGGGCACAGCGATGAGAGTCGCATCAATGCTCAAATCAACGGGCAAGGAAGGGGTCCCATTTCTCGGGTTCTGGGCCGTTTCTCATGGTTCTTCCTTCTTTCGTGTACCACTCACCATCCCTAGGTTAATTTGAAATGGGTTGCTTTTCATCGTGAATTCGTCCTTTAAAGTAGACTTCTGATAAATATTGGTGTAATGGGTGAGAAACCCTGAAACGTTTTCACATTTCCGCCTGCCATGACCCAAGGGAACGGTCCTGGACCAGGAGAAAGGACACCTCCGCAAAGGGCTAAGGCACATCCAACTTCGTATAGCATACATTTGCAAAGAAGAGCTTCCACTTTTTTCTATTTTCTATATGGTTTCAGGGATGGAGCTGTGCTCTCGAAGAAAAAGCCGCTGAAGTTGACCAAAAACTGTTCTCATTCCGTCAGCGAATCCCTGGATAAATGGACAGAATGTTTACTAGTGAGCAAAACGGCCTTGTTGTCACACTTCTTAAGCTGTATCACTTCACTCTTCAAAAGTTCTGCTTTATTTCAGTGCTTATGATGGAGAATATATTACAACGAAGGCAAGAATGCAGTCATTCATGACGCGATGCAGGAGTGGACCATGCCGGCACAGTATTATTTCATGAAAGATGCACGCTATGAGTCGAGCCGTTTATACACCTTCGCCAATGTATGTTACCCACATTTCTAAGTATCCCTCCTCTGGATTAAAACGATAACAATTGAATTCCAGATGGCTCCATCAAGAAATCTTCGAATTAGGTTGCAACTATGAGCAGTGCCGTGATGATTTTGGTGGTATAGGCGAGGCTGTTTTTACGTGCGTCTATAACAAAAAGTGAGGAATGTACACGTACAAAGGAGTGTCGCCAGCTGTCGTATTTGTATTTCTCCTATTCAGAGCTCCTAAGAAGACAGATTTGTATCAGAAGGGAGGACAAAACCGGCTGTGCGAGCGGGGCTAAAGTGAAGGATGTGTGCAAAATGAAGGATTCAAAATGTGGAGGTCTACTCTGCGAACTGCCACGCGATCCTAAAGCGCCATACTTGTTCTTTGTAATAATCGCTATTTTATTGACGCAGAATAAATCTTTAGATCTTTGTTCCGCGCAACAATGGTATAACATTGAGCTCAAATCAGGTTCGAACAAAATAGCACTCGGTATGTGTTTTATTGGATGAAGTGCTGTTACGCCGCAGTTCGCGTTGCGGAGTGGTTAAGTCAAAATGGTAATATCTAGTAAAGCTTTCAGCCTTGCGGTTGAATGCCGAAATCGGCCTACCGGTTCATCACGTTATACGTGTGAATGCTGATAAGCTATGGTAACTTCACCATCGAAGCTGAGTTGGGGTGAAATGGTGCCCCGGTGGTGTAACTGGTAGCACAATTGCCCGGAAAGCAAGAGATCCGGGTACGAATCCCGGTTAGGGCAAAAGTTTTGCACATAACTCGGTATTGTAATATTCTCTACGTCCACCTTTTTTGAAACCTGGGCGTGGCTCTTTAACAGTAGTGTTGCTTCTGCGTCAAAAGGTTTTGGGTGGTGGAATATTGGCTTACCGGATCTTCGATAAATTCATTGTCATAGGCCTGAAAGGTTTGAAACTTCAAGTGCTACCTTTCTGCTCAGCACAATTACGCATTCCAAGCCGAAATAGTCAACCATCGCTAGGAACCAGAGAGCGGAAATCTCAACAATAGGTTGCTCACCTCAATTCAACAGTGTCCATGGCCGCTCAGCCTCCGTCTTTGAGCCACTTGGAAGAAAGTAGAAGGGAAGTTCTGTTCGTCACGGAACAGAGTTCAACAACACGACATCTTTCGGTTGCACAGAATTTTTTGACACGACATCGTAAGAAAGTTCAAGTCTTCCCCACCCTTCCGAAGGTCAAATGTCTTCCATTGCCGTCGGAGCGTTATCACGAGAAGAATTTGAAGGCAGTGATCATGGCTGGAGAGCGTTGCGTTCGGTTTCGATGCCCTGTTGAACGCATCGGAGTAACCGCGTGTCTCAATCACACCCGCAGCATCAAAGGCATCATACGACTCCGTTACTCGTTCATTGATGTCTCAAACGCATAGCATTTGATTAGCATAAATCACTGACACAGGTAGCTGCGTTTTCTCCACTATTATGAACCAAGCAAAAGTATCAATACCGCACGTTGACCACGTTAACCCGCCCATTCCGATGTGCTGCATGGGAAGTGAACTGTTCCGATAGTTGGGTGGTAGAATGCGTGATGTTATGAAACTGCGTATAATAAGTCATTTTTATACAAAGGTCATTTGACGTTAACACAAATGACTTCGATATGATACAACTATAACGAAGTTCCTCAACTTAACACATTGACGACATTGAGACGCGGTAACGCGTCTCACTTTGCGCACCTCGTTGGACATTGAGACGCGTTACGCGTCTCACCCTTGTCATCCCTTTTTCTAGCGTATGCGCAGCTTCTTTCCCGAATTGCTTGTCTCTATTCTATGGATTACAACATAACATAAATTGTAAACGACATGAGTCACGGTGTGATCAATGTGCCCCAGATTAAACGGAAGTCTTTCAAGCAAATAGCGATATCGCAGTTACATTCCTTCGTTTTCTTCCTATTCTAATGAACATGTCATGAGAAAAGTTATAAGTAAATACAAACTCAAAGGATAGAAAGATATATGTTTCACTTGACACATCCACATCGAAAATGGTTTTATCATTCACCTACAGCGAAAGGACTTGAATTCCAACTTTCTTTACACATTTCACGATTGTTTAGACAGGAATTCCTCGCTACTGCCATATCCACGGATTACTTTCGAACGCCGCATAAATATTGCTGAAATGGTTTCGTACCTTTAAAGCTTCCCAAGTTATCGTTCGAAATTTACGGGTGTGAGGTGTGACGGCCGCGCTCGCAAAAGCACCCATGTCCCAACCGGTGCAAAATTCTAAAACGCGTGCGATTCGTCAACGTGTAAAATTAGCCCTTGTTTGGTTATCCTTGCCTTTGACCTCGACATGTGTTGACGGGTTATTGAAGATTGATTGGAGGTTGTGGATATTGGCGAGTAGATACTGATTGGCTACTGATTGTGCGTCCACACAGCAGTGCTTACACTGATCCTAAAAAAGGTGCTTCTTAGGTTATTTGCGTAGCGACCGAACTCGCTTGCTCGCTGGCGCTGCCGCCGCTAGATTATTTGCGAGGCAATCGAGGTCGCGTGAAGAGAGAAGTTCCGGACACCACTGGAGGCGAAGACTGGCTCTAATGTTGAACACCCGCAAACCTACTTTCTTCGCGTGATCTTCTGAGAGCGCTATACTTTCACGGTTCAAAGGAGCAGAGGTAGTGATCCAGTGCAAAATCCGAATCATTAGAAGCTTATAGTTGGGCAGGGCGCAGATTGGCATACGGTGGAGGAAATCTCGTGGTTTACTCCAGGGTCTTGTCCCCGTTCACCACCTTTGATTGTGAGCTTATAGCACTTTACTACCGTCCTATACCTCTATGACTTCTATAGTTATGATGAAGAGTATATGTCCAAGGATAAGCACGCAATATGCATGTGAGTGAGCTAATGGACTCTTCCTATACATTTATTTTTGTTTGTCGTGTTGTTCTCTTATTTCGAATGCCCTTCGAGCCCCAACTTTTATAAATTTGTAACTTAGAAAGTATTCGCGACTCTCAAACATTGTCGCCTGTCATTTAAAGATCAGTAGTGGTGTTCTTAAAGAGACAGGTCTGCATTAGAAATAAGAGACAACAGTCGCAGTGAGCATACCCAGGTAAAGTGCGTTTAGGAGATGAAAAAAAAACCGTTATGAGAAGTCCACGATGCGAACTGGCTTGCAGTCAACTGAGGCGTGCTGCCTGTTCTGACGTTTTTGACGCTTTAGCTTTCGCGACCTCCCTTCGAAATCAAACTTTTTTGGTGCGCTGTCCGCTATAGAGCGTTGAAGCGAGGCTTCAAAAAGGATGTCTAATGGAAAAGTCCCGTTGCAATGCATGCTTCTCCGAGCTGTTGCGGAAATAGGGGCTACTGCGTCTCTATTTGAATTGTCGAGATAGACTGCTGCTACTATGTGACTGAACAGCAGCGCGCTTTAAATGATTTGAAGGGTTTACGTCCTGGAATTTCAAACAAGCTGTATGATCTGACTAGCCGCATGGAATAAACTGTGAGAATCGTAGCAGAAAAAACTAAACTTAATCAAACTGAAGAGTCAGCCTTCTTAGCCAAAGGTACTGCGGCAAGCTCAAAACCGCGCCAATACGCACATTTTAATTTTTTTTGAAAAACCACTCGCACCAGCACTTAGAGTGGTCTTAGGCAGGATGAAAATCGTGTCGAGTACGTGGTCGCAGAAGTACGACCCCCCCCCCGAAATCGAGATCCTGGCACGACCCCCTAAACAGAGCAAATTAATTCAATTAATTAATCAAAAAAATCCTGCAAAATAATGTTATGGACGCCTCATCTTGTCATCTATGCACTGTCTTTCATCGCTGCACACTTTTGTGTATTTACTGAAATATCGACTCGAGGAAAGAGGCATTAACTTTGTGTGACCTCAAAGTCAGGTTCGTTCAGAAATGCACAGAAATCCTGAAGGCACGGGGTTGCGATTTAATCTTGATTCCTTGCTTGAGTATATCAAAACAGCCGAGTGTATCAAAGGCCGATTCAACGGCAGCTGCGGCGCGATTGTCACTGGGTCAGATTTGCTGAAATTTCAAAAAAAAACGTCCGAATCTACACCCTCGATGAAAAGGTTGCATTCCTCCATTTCATAACCTTTGAAGCAGTTTGAGGTAGGGTTAGATAGAGCTGGATTTCGCGTTTCCAAGAAGTATTGAAATTGCTCTGAAGCCTTCCATGCAGAAAGATAGGGTCTCTCAAATTTCGTCGAGTAAACGTCGAGGACGCTGAAATTTTCACGCGAGTTTTTGCCACTTCAAGAGCAATATCTCTCTTAAAACGTTCACCCTGCAAGTGTAATTGTTGGCAACGCTTGAAATGGGTCTAGAAAACATCCTCCCAACATAAGCAATAGGAAAAGGGGCAATCGTCATCATCCGATTTTGTATTGTATAAGCCATGCATCCGTCCTCCACTCACAGTTGCAGAATCGATTGAAAGGTGTTATATGGTGGTGACCTTCTGAAGGAAACTGTATTGTAAACTCAGTATCGGATAGAGCCTCCATTGCTATCTTATCCGTAGTACTAGAGAGCAGTTCTTTGGGCTATCGAACACTACGGATAAGATAATAAGTGAACGACTCATTTCGAGCGTACTTTTGATAAGGACCGGTGGATGTCCTACATTCCACACTACCTGCCCACATCCCATCCACTTTTCTGCACAGGTGATCCACCCTGGAGCTCCTGCACCT